CAAACCTATCGCGCTGTTTCAAGGCGTATAATGTCAATCCTCCGACTTCCAATAAAACTATAGTCAGGCTGCTATGATATGATATGATATGATATCTAGTTACACAGAATCATTGACTCATTCACAATCTCAAGTTTTAAAAGTTTGAGTGTGCTTAATGCATATTGTTTATTGATGTGTTGATGCAGGCTGTTGCTCCAATTTTTTCTCTGGTGGCTCCAAGGTTCCAGTTCAAAGGAGCAAACAAAAGGGGCATTCCAGTTTCGAGGGATCCAGCAGCGTTGTTGGCGAAGTACACAGATCCTTTGGTGTACACAGGACCTATAAGGGTACGAACTGGGCATGAAATATTATACGGATATCCTCGTACTTAATGCGAAACTTTCAACTCCGTGACTGTACCATTCTCTTGTTCTGTCAGGCACTGCTGATAATAGGTAATGATCCACCGGCCTACAAGATCTGTATGACAAAGCCGCTGTCAAAGTTTCAAAGACATAAAAGCTGTATGATGGTTTTTCCGACCTTCTGTTTGAGCCTGAGCGTGAAGAGGATTGCTCAGGACATTATCAACTGGATGGAAAAGAAACTATTCACTATCTGAAAATGTAAGAAAAAATATGTAATTGTGTTTGGTATATATGACAACACAAGGGATGCCAACTTTGATAAGTGTAGAAAATTGAATTCGCCCAGGCAAATGGGGTGGCTGAGGCAGATAGCATTATTAATCTTTCGTTTTTAGGCTTTTGATATATATCAATATATGAATTCTGCGAACATCTTTGCTTTCAAGAAACTTGGGGGGTTAAATTTATTACACCCTAAAATTTCGTATTGTTTTTCATTAGATTAGAGGTGTCATTTGAGCCCTTGGCCCATGGGTTGACCCTGACCCCTTCTAAAATCAAGCCCCAATTTTCTAGCCCACTTAATAGGGGGCTTTTTAAAAGCCCCAACCCCTAAAGCCCCACATAAAGTGGGTTGGGGTAGGGTTAGGATGGGGCTAGCCCCCAAACTAAATTAATTCACTTTTAATGTTTTTTTAGTTATTTCTTTTATTTACTTTTCAAGTTCAATAATTTCCAAAATTTACATGATATTTAATATCTTTTTAATTAAATATAAATGTATAAATATTGATTTTAGAAAAAATTATTTAAAATAATTTTTTAATTATAAGCATATTTTAAATATATAATTTTATTATTTTGGAAAGTTAAAAAAGAAAATTTTTATTATTATTTTTATTTAAAAGAAAATGAAAAAAATTTCAAAAAAGAAATTATAAAAGTAACACAGTTGAAAATTTGATTTTTCAATAATCGAATTCTGATATCTATATAAATATTTGAAATATTAATTATGGATATATTTTAAATTCAAATTTACTGATTGGATGAATTTTTAATATCGGTGTAAAATTTTTATTTTTTATAGTTTGTCATATAAAATTCTTTTGTTGAATGTTTTGTATAGATATATATACATTAAAAAATTAAACCACAAATTTTATAAAGTTTAAAATTAATTTCACGTAATAAAAGAACTAACTTTTTAGTGAAAATCCTTGTTAGGCAAAATTGTTATAAATATCATATATGTTAGTATACAAGATCTAGATGTAATCCTAGTGGTTATAAAATCAGATTTTTTTTCTAACCTTTTAGATTAAATTAATATTTTAAAATGACTTATTTTTATCCAACAAAGATCGTTTTTATTGAATTATATATCATAATTGAACCGATTGTAATAAAAAATAATTAAATAATAGATACAATATTTTTAAATAAATATAATGTTATCATTTATAATACTAAAATTAAAATTATTATTTTATTTAATTATTAACATATAAAATAAATAAAAATTATAATAATTATAATAATAAATAAATTACATCAATGTCTCTTAATAAGAAACTAATAAAGAAGACAAATGAATATAATATGAAATATATGAAAAAAACATAAAAATATATAAATTGATTTAAATGACTAAATTATACGTTTTATAAATTTTTTTTTAAAAGAATTATATAACTTTATAAATAATAAATATTAATTTTATTAAATTTGGAAAATTAAAAAAGTTAAAAAGTTATTAAGTTAAAATTTTAACATGTTCACACCAATTAAAAATAATGTAATTTTGATCACAAATCTTAATCGAATGATATTGATTTAAACTAGTGACAAAATATATTACCATTTATAAATAAATTCGTTAGTCCATCAAAATTTTACAAATTAAATTAATTTTTTTTAACTTTTAAACCTATTTTATGTGGATATCTCTGAACCGTCAAATTTACAAACCAAAATTAAGAAACCAAAATTAAGATGAAAAAATTATCAAAACAAAATTTGGAAATTAAGGAATAATTGTATAAAAGCATTATTATTAAACTAATTAATACAGAAACACGTTATGAAGTAGAAAATTAATTTTATTGGTAAAAAAATATAATTATACATGAATCAATTATGATTATAAGTTATTACTAACAAAGATAAAATGAAAGATGGATAAAAAATACACATGATTTGTGATTACTTGTATGATGATATTATGTTTCTGGATGTTAAATTTTGTAAAAAGGAAAGCCCATGGGCTGGCCCTGGCCTATAGGGCTTTAGGGCTTTTTAGCCCTGTGGGCTTTTTAAATAAAGATATTTTTTGGCCCTGTGGGCTTTTTTGGCCCCAACCCACGTGGGTTAGGGCCAAATCTTATTAAAGGGGCTCATTTGACAGCTCTAGTTTTCATCTCTCGACAATTTAGATTCACCGTTCAATGTACCGTGTCTCCTCTCTCAAGTTTCGTATAAAGCTTCCCCCTACCCCGAAGGAAATGGCTTCATATAAATTTGTTACATACATATTTGCCAAGTAATTAAGAAATCATCCGTGATCATTTAACATAAACTTCTCAGTCCAATACTTTCATCAAGGTATTTTGTACATAAAACACTAACATAAGTTTTGTTAGATTATTAGTAAAAGCTGTTTTGTTCGAGTCTATTTCAGCAGAGGAGATTCACATAATTCTATCATAAAATTTAGGCTCAGCTGTTAACTAAATACTTCAATATTTGTTGCTGAAAAAAACTTCTAACATCAAATTAGAAAAAAGACACCGTTAAACTAAGGTGGCAAAACTATTATTAATATGTTTCTATAAAAGTAATGATACTTTGATAATCTTTATTTTATATATTACTATTTCACAACCTTATTATTATATTAGTATAAGAATATAATATTTAAAAATTACCTTATTATTTTTTCAAGTTGTTGTATATAAATTAAACATTTTCAATTTTTTTATTGTTTCCGTAAACCCAGAAAGAAAAAAAAAAGAAAAAACAGTGTTTCTCATCATTAATATATAGAGACTAATTTTGTTTTATACAAAATTTCCTTTTAATTTCTTTTTATTATAAAAATATTATAAAAAACAACTCTTTACTCTTTGCTACTTAAATAATCTGGACTGTTCATTTTTAAATTTTATTTATTCGATTTATTTGCACATTCATTTTTATTGTTGGAAGATGTATTTTATTTAATTACATTCTAAGCATAAACTGTTCTGAACAATAATTTTATCAGAAAAATATTTAAACCTAACTATCATTTTAACTAGATGACAGTGAATTATTGCTCCCACTAATTTAAGTACAGTTAAAAAAAGTTACGTGTAGCTTTCAAGACTCTAGTAATGTATAGGAAGGACATACAAAATGTCATTATCAAGTCCTTATCTAACTTGCTTAATTTTGTAACCAACTTTTTTTTGGTGGTATTACTTTTACTCACTCTTTTTCAAAATTATCTTAAAAAGATTTCAACAGTACACAGTGATATCAAATTTAAAAGTTCTCTGTATGTAATATTTTGTTTATATTTTATCTCCTTAATATTACGTTGTACTCGTAGGATAAAGTATTGCAAAATACATTTTCTATTTTTGTGGATGAATGTTATTATTTTAACGTTGTGATATTACTGAAATCATTATTGCTAGTTGTAGCAGTGGGGACCGGACGTCCACCTAACCACGACAGGCCAGCCGCGCTATCCTTTTGCTTGCCGGAGGAGGGACCAGACATCGAGCAGGGCGAACGACTTCATGCCTGATTACGTAACATTGCCACTTGTCATCCGGATGCACAACCACTCATACGAGGTCGGTCGGTCATACCACCAATTAACCAGATTGCCTATAGGGACCGACCGGGAGAAGACGGCCGAACGGCGGGAGACCGGCTGGCCACATCGTTAATTAATCAGGTTTAAGGTAAGTGGTGATTAAAAGCTATTGGGTTGATTTTGGGTCGTGATTAACTTTTCGCTCAAACTGACTTTGGCATCGGAGAATCTTTTGTAGGTCTCCCACCCGCGCGCAGAGGGAGGAAGGAAGGAAACGAGGAATCAGGAGCGAGAACCGGACGTTCGAGAGACAAGAGGAGAAGCACGTGGAAACATTGGACAACTTAGCCCCTACATACCGAAACACTAACGTTCACCAACTTTATAAATAGAGCACTTCCTTCACTCCAAAAGAAGATTATCAGAATCATTCTTCTCTCATTCTCTCTTCTCTTAGTTTCATTCTTTCTCTTTTCTTCTTCTCCTACAAAACTGAGATCCTCAGAAATTGTGAGAAGTTCCTGTTGTATCTGGAGGCTTGCGCAATACACCGCGGATAAATTCGTAAGGACAGTGAATCTAAATGCCTCAAGAAATATTGCTCGTGACTATGGATCAAAACTTTATTTCTAAACTGAAAAGTATTTGCGAAACCACTTACATGGATTCAAGCTACTGTCAAAAGTAAAAAAAGTAAAAAAGGTATGAAAGTTTACTTTTCTTTATTGTATGATGATGTTTGAATTTTTGAATGATACTTCTAATCATAAATAAATGGAATTGATTATTGCGTATTAATATGTTAATATCAATTTGGATGATTGAATTCTATAATGAATTCTATAATTAAATTCACGTAATTGAATTCCATAGTTGAATTCTCGTGATTGAATTCACGTAATTGAATTCTGTAGCAGAATTTTGTAAATTGAGACTTCTTTTTTTAGGATATAATAAAGTTACGGTTTTGTTCAAATTAGAAAAAGGAAAAGAAAAAGAGAATTACATTTGAAAGGGGTTGCAGCGTTTTAAGATAGCCTTAGGTTATCTTCAATTTGGGGTTTCAAATTGGGTTTGAAGTGTGGGTTTGTTTTTTTTTTTTTTCGACTTGGGTTTTTTCCTCTCGTTGGTCCCAGCATTAGGGGGGAGTCAGACCTAGCTTTGAGGGGTGATTTTCTTCCTTCCTGGTCTCGTGCAAGTCTCGCGCAAGGAGAACTTCCTCCTTCCTCTCCACTTCTTCTTTTTCGCGAGCATGATCAACGAGAATCCTGAGATGGAGCGAGAAGCCAGCGACAGCGTGGAGATGGCGTGTCCAAGCGGCTCACGGCGACACCTCTTCGTGGCGGTAGGTATGACCATGACAGCGTCGGGATCGTGGAGGCGTGCTCCTTCAAAGCAAATCGCGATGGTGATCGCGGCGTGTCGAGCGAATTGCGTGTTCCTCTTGCAAGCTTAGGTTTTTCGATTTGTGGTTACATTTAGGGTTTCGTTGTGGTTTTTGGGGTTTCTCTGTTCTCATGTTCGATTCTGATCTTGGGGGTTTCGATTCCTGTGTGAAGAGCTCACGTTTCTGAATGCATGAAGATGGCGAGGGCAGCGGCGCCCTGATGGGCGAAAGCAGCGGCGGCGTCGAGTTTTGGGTTCATTTTTCGTTCTCTGATCTTGGGGTTTCCTTCTTGGAATTTTTCGCATGGAGGAAAGACCAGGTTTGGTGGCACAGGTGCGACGCTCTCTCCATAGTAGTGTGCGCCGCAATGGCGGCCCTCCGCGGGTTTGAGGACGCTCTTGTAACGGTGGGAATCACGGAAGCCCCTTGGTCTAGAACTGACGACGGGTTGAGTGCGGACAGTGTGGCGGCAACGGCGTGAATCTCTGTTTCTGGGAATCTCGTGTTCTTGATTGTTTTGGGGTTTCGTAACTTTGTGTGTTTTGATTCGCGATTGGGGTAAATTCTTTCCTGTTGATTCATAGCGTGTTTTGGGGTCTGCGTTGATTAAGAGAGGGTCGTTCCTTTCCTTACGGCAGTGAGAGTTGACGTTTCATGAGGACTTTGGATTACTGCAAGATAAACCCATCGGAATATCCAATTGGAACTAGAAATTAACGAGATTTAAAAGAAAGTAATGAGATGATTAAAATAATAAATGTTTTATTATTTTAAATTAATATTGAATTATATTTATTTATATTTTCTTATTATTGTTTGAGTAAAATCTATTCAGGACATGAGATAATGGTGACATAGGTGAAGCTACTTAGAATAAGAACAATATATTGAGAAAAGTTTGAGTTTTATGACATAAATTTAGTGAGTATTCCACCCTTTATGATGCTAATTCTAAATTAATGGAAAATAGAGGAGAATCATTACCTCAGTTTCAGTATACCCAGATAATTGAGAGTTTATTGCACTTGATGAGCTTTTCTAGACCTGATATTGCTTATACAGTATGTAGACTGAGTAGGTACACTTAATGTCCTAATCAAGAACATTGGGATGCACTTTCCAGGCTTATGAGATACTTAAGAGGTTCAATGAATTATGCCATTGAATGTAGTGAATTTCCCGTTGTACTAGAAGGGTACAATGATACTAACTTTTGTCGCTTTTGAGATGGCTGATAGTGAGGCTGAGTGGTTGAAAAACTTCTTAGCAAACATTCCACTAGGGATGAAACCAATCACATCGGTGTCAATACACTGTGATTGTCAATCGGCAATAGCTATAGCTAAAAAACAAGAATTACAATGGAAAGAATAGACATATTCAATTGAGACACAATTTGGTAAAGCAGCTGCTAAAGAGTGAAACTATTTCCATTATGTGAAGTCAGAACGGAATCTAGCAGATCCTCTGACAAAACCCTTGGGAAGAAATATGATATTAGAAACATCGAGGAGAATGTGACTTAAGCCAGTGACAAACAAACAAGTAATGGTAACCCAACCTTTCTGATTGGAGATCCCATGAATAAGGTTCATATGGATAAAAACAAGTCACTTGTTAGTTCTGATAGTACTAATTTGATTTTAAATCAAATATGTCCATTCATATGATGTGTGTGAAAGTGCTAAAGAATTATTGAGAGGTTAAACTTTGTAATTAATCAAAGTTTTAATGATCTTCATATCCCTTACGAATGGTGTATGATTTGCAGCATACACTTGATGAAATCACTTATATGAATGTCAAGTGGGGTCGCTTGCACGAGATTTTGGCATGATCTCTAGAGCACTCATGAATACCGGGCACGCGCATGACCTAGTAAGTGCATCACAGCGATAACAACAAGGATGGTGGTGGTGTACTGTGATTGATAAACCTCTAACACACTCAAGTATCTTTGGTTCATATAGCTTGCTATACCAACTATATTGTGTGTTAAGTTTCTCGATCTGGGACTGGTTCATATAGCTTGCTATATCAGCTCTCATGCATTACATCTTGTGAAACCAGAATAATTTCTTTTCTCTTTCGTTTGGATATATATTTTGCAATATGTGGGGGATTGTTGTACACGAAGGATAAAATATTGCAAAATACATTTCCTATTTTTATGGATGAACGTTATTATTTTAACGTTGTGATATTACCGAAAGTTTCGTGCTTCATTGTTGCCAACGTTCTTTTATTTTTTTTTTGCAAGTTCATATTAATAAAAAAATCTTTTCTCAAAAGATATTTTGCTAGATATTTTGGATCTTTTGGATCATGAGCCTAATTCACCAACTTTATAAATAGAGCACTTCCTTCACTCCAAAAGAAGATTATCATAATCATTATTCTCTCATTCTCTCATTCTCTCTTATCTTAGTTTCATTCTTTCTCTTTTCTTCTTCTCCTACAAATATTGTGGGTTTATTTTTATTCTCTTTTTAAGAGATTCTTGCTAGTTCTGAAATCCTCAGAAATTGTGAGAAGTTCCTGTTGTATCCTGGGAACTTGAGTAATACACCGCGGATAAATTCTTAAGGACAATGAATCTACACGCCTCAGGGAAATACTCGTGACTATGTCAGCCTTTTCATACAACATATTATTGTATACAACTGCCTAAAATTGAAATATGTTTGAATAAAGATGAATCACGAAGGAAACTCTTGTAGATACCCACATGGACTGCGTCTGTTACTAATAAAACAAAAATGGCAGAAACCACAAGAGAAAGCAGCACAATACACGGTATATATAATAAACAATTTTGTGACTACTTGTTTAAAATTTTATCAGAGACAGTTTAGATTAAAAGTAATGCATAATTACAATGGAAAAAAAATATTAAAAAATGAAGAATTACGAGGTAACTCAAACCTGTTTTAAACAATAATTTAAAAAAGATTCAGTTCGACCCAGATGTTAAAATATATATTTTTGCCAATCTACCCACAGATTTGAACTATCAGCACTGATTAGATCGAATGAGATGAAACTGAGACAAAACGGGAAATAAAAAGAAGTTGTTAAAAGCAGATGAAATTACGAAGGGAACAGAAAAAGATCACAATTTGAATCTACCTAGTTTGTGTTACATGCAAGCTCAATCTTCTTGACCATGAACTCCAGATAAGACTCAATAAGCGAGTTCAAATCTTGGAAGCTCCAACCTTGAACAGGATCAGAGACAAAGCTCCACTCGATCTTGGATCCATCCTGGTTCATGGGAAGCACCTTGATTGTGGCCACATAGGACATAAATCCCAAGTTGTTTTCACCAACTTCGTAGGTCAAACAACGTTGTACAGGATCTATCTCAAGCAGCTTCTCTTTGGCCCATTTCAGGGTTGTTGTCTTCTCAGCATCATCACCAACCCCTTCTTCTTCAACAGTGGAAGCACAGTAGCGGACGAGACCAGGTTGACCTGAAAGTCCCTCTACATGGTAACATGTTTCTATGGGAAGCCACTTGTGTACGTTGCAGAAATCTTCCAGAACCTGCCATGTAAGTTGTGGATCGGTGGCTGGTAGCTCAGCCATGGCTTTACCTTCCCATTTGGGGGTAGATTCCTCTGTCATTGTTATCTTCTTATGGTTAGAGTGAGGAACACTGTAATTACTTGACTCAAACTTCAGGGGTATATATCCACTCAGGAAAGGAAAATATTCTATGCATCGTGAGAATTATTGGGAGAGTGGGAATCTCTTGCAACCACACAATCAAAATCAGGCACATGCCATTTCATAAAATAAAGACATACTTGTCATAAAGGTTAAGGCCTTGTTCACTTGAATGAATTTGAAGGAAAGTAATTGAAGGAATTTGAGAGGATTTGAAAATAAATTTTTTTATAGATTGGCCTGAATGTGGTAATAAATAAATACAAAATTAGATGATGCTTTACGTTAGATTCTATGAGACTAATTTATAATATATATAAATTAAAGTAAATTTTATTTTAGGTTCACCTAATATTAAATTACTATTAAATTATCCATTAATTTTTAATCTGTGTTTGAAATGTACATGTAGTGAATTATTTTTCTTAAGAAAAGCTTTAACCATTGGTTTCATTTATCTTGTTCATTTCGTCTCTTTCATAAAAACCACATAAAACACGTTTCTACGAAATACCACATAAAACACAAACCACATAAAACACGTTTCTAGGAAGGAAGTATGAAAGAGATGTGAACTATTTTTTATAAGTTGTTAAAATAACAATTTAAAAAGTAAAAATAGTGTACAACAATTTAAAATAGCTAGTAAATAAAAAAGTATTGTATGACTACTATACTTTTGTAAAAAAGGTAGACGATAAAAAAAATATTTTCAAGACTTAGTAAGGGTAAATAATTTTTTTAACATAAACTAGTTTCAAATTCGTGTTTATGCATAAGTTAATGTTGGTATGTGTATCTATTAAAAGAGAAATAGAAATTGAAAGAAAATTTATATAATATTTTTAAAGTTTATTATTAAGTATTGAATAAAAATAATTTATAAATTTAAGAAATCAATGTGTTTATATAAATATAAATAGTAAACTTTGTAAGAATATAAAAGATAAAATATGTACAAAAATAGAGTAAATTCTCTAGAAAATATATAAAAATATGTACAGTTGACTCAATTAATTAGTCTTCAAATTTAATGAATAGTGTTAATTTCGTTATCTTTTTAAAAAAGATTTAATTTTGTCCAAATCCGGGAAACACAATTATTGGTGCCAAAGTCTTAGGAGTTTTATTTCATTATTATTTATAAATTTAACATTTTAATAAGTAATAAATTTAAGGTTTTTAGTTAAAAATTTGTTAAAAAATTATTATTTAATACTTAAAATTTTATTTTTACTATTATTAAAAAAATGCATTAAAAAAATTTAAGAAACTATTATTTTTACCAAATTATAAAAATGCATTAAAAATAATTGCGCAATTTATTATCACACATTGCCATATAAAAATGTTCTTTTAATGATATGAAATGGCCAAGTTAACGAATTTAAAACTATCGACCCAGAATTGGAGAGAACAGTGTGTACCAATGGCAAATTTCACATTTGGTTGAGGAAATTTAGTTCTCATATAAAAATACTAATAAATAGAAACAAGATGTTTTATCATACATAAATTTAGTACTGTACTGTCACCGCATTTAGTTTCTCCCTCTGATTAATGTTTTATCATACATAAACTAATTCATAAACAAGAAAAATTAGAAACAGAAAATTAAAATTAAACCCTAACTCTTTTATATCATACTTTCATTTTAAACATCATGTTAAAAAAATATTACTTGAATATTATATTTGAAAATTTTAACAATAGTATATGTTCCCATTTTGTTTGTTATTTTTTAATATGTTTTATATTTAATTACTCACCAACACATAAGTAATTTAAATGTCTCATATATACATATATATTTAACTTTATAATATTTTATACTTAATTTTAAACTTAATTACACATATTTTAAGATAAAAAAATAAAATTAATAGTACGATATAAAGATAATAATAGAAGTTAAAAATTGAATTAAAACAATTAATCTATAAATAAACAAATAAAAATTCCTTCAATTTTGAAAATATCTAATTAAAACTAATAAATATATTATTTAAAAATAATTAATAACGATATTTGTTTAATGGAATTCATACTAATTAAAAAAAGGGTTAAATATGTTTTTAGTCCCTGAACTATCAGACGATTTTGTTTTTAGTCCCTGCTCAGAACTTTGATGGTTTTTAGTCCTTATAGTTTTGAAACTCTGAGTAATAGTCCTTAAAAATGGACGGAGTTAAGTTTTTGTGGATGTGTCAAACGAAGATGCCACGTGAGCTGTGATCTCTGCCTTCACTCTCTGCCACGTGGAATGTTTAACTGTTGAACTTAGATTAAGCACTTAGTGATGTTTTATAAATGAGATTTGAAGAAGTTTGGTTCTTCTTCGTCGCTGCAGCTGAGGAGAAAGAACTTGGGTACATCTGAAGGTGAAAGAACTTGGGTACATTGTTGAGGTAAGTTCGTATGTTTTGGTTTTGGTCTTCTTCTGTTCTTCGTGTAAATATGAGGATTTGGGATATAGGGTTTCTGTGGGCACCAAAGCTGATGAAGGGATTGTTTTGTTGTAGTGAAATGAAAGGTGACAGTGGAGGAAATGGTTGGACGCGAAGGTCAATTGGTTCGTCTAAGTCGCAAAGCTGTGGATCATCTTCACGGCTACCTTCTAAATTGTGTGGTTGTGGTGAAGCATTGTTGGTTTTGAAGGCAACTACTGTGAAGAACAAAGGAAGATTGTTTTATAGATGTAGAAATTGGGCAGTAAGTGATTTAAATATTTCATTCATTTGCTGAATTTTGAATTCATCCTGTGTGTTTTGATTGCAGAGTAATTCAAGTTGTAATTACTTTGAATGGCATGATGAAGAGTTTCTCTGAAACTGAAGAAGCTTTGAAAGAAAAACGTGAGAACTTCAAATGTGTTTGGAAAATGAAAAACTCGTATTGGATCTAAGGAAGAAGAACGACAAGTTGAAAAGGAGTTTAGAAGAAGAGAGAAAGTTGGAAAAATGATGTTGTTGTTGTTTATCTTGTCATGGGTTTTCTTTTGTATTATGTTTTGTTAAGATGAATTGTAACTAAGAATTATGTGTTTGAAATAAATGAGGATGGTCTGGAAATTGTTTATGTTGTTTTGTTTTCCCTTTAACATTGGACTGATACTGTTACTGGTGTATTCATTTATGTTGATAAAGAAAACAGTTCACAGCATAAGAAAGCACAGGCAGAGTATCTGTAAATGTGACTTGGAATAAATAAAGTTAACTTACCATTATGCAAAGATGGAATACAACTCAAAGTTTAGTGGTCCCTTTGAAAATGAAGTGGTCACATACTATTAAATAACATAAGTTTAGTGGTCCCTTTCCACTACAAAAAATATTAAAAGCAACCACACCAACACTGTAGCCAGTACTATAATTGTTCCGTTAGTGGGTCACTTTCAATTACAAAATTCAATACAATAAAGGGTTGGAACAAAGGCATCTTCAATTGGTACTAGCTTGGGACCCTAGATGTTGTGCAGCCAGTCTTGAGGATGTTCTTCTTCCAGCTTCGTGCCCTAATGCAGGTCCTGCTCCACTGGCACTTCTTCTTCCCTGAGAGATGTTCCTCCTCCTTGGTGACTTGATGCAGCTTCTGCTTCACTGCCAGTTGTTCTTCCCCTTGATGCAGCTCCTTCTGACCTTGATGCAGCTCCTTGAGAACCTCCTGCACTGGAAGTGGCCCTTGTGCTGCCAAATCCTCTGTACTGGAAGTGGCCCTTGTGTTCTGTAAATGGAAGTAGCAAATTCAATTGTAAGATTGTAAATAAGTTTGAATGTGTAAATAAGTGAACCAGTAAAAGATTGATTTTGTCATTTTGTTTGCCCTTTTCAATGTTCTTACATTATGAACCAAATTCATTGCAGGCTGCTACACTTCATAAGAAGATTCTTCTTTGATAATTTTGTATAGTGACATATTCATCAGCCTCCCCTTCTTCTTAGTTTTTAGGCCTCCCAGGGGTGTTTTTATAAATTGGAGGCTTAGGGAAGGAAATTCAGAAGTGCCCACAGTTGTTGTCCATTGATTGGAACAATCTCAGGGCCATAACAAGTGTCATAGCCTCTCTCTTGTAATAAGGATGTACATAGTCTTCACAGGGTTTTCTTGTTTGTAATTGATGGCAGCCACAGCGTGCCTACAAGGAATCCTACCAAATCCATCCAAAGGTAACAACTACATGAATGGTTACTAAGGTCAACTACAAATTTAATCCTAGTAAACCCGTGAGTGATTTCAAATTTGCTCCCCCTACCCAAGTTGGAATCCAATTTTCAGAAAACCACATTTGTTTTTACAAACTGCCCTTACTCTGTTCAGTTCATTCTTCACACTTAACCTCTTTTTCATTTAATACACTATGCTCCCAATAGTGCATTTTTGAATTCCTTTAAAGAACAGAACTCCATCCCCAATTCAAATCTGAAGTTCTTGTTCATATCATCTTTTCTAAAAACTTTTTAATTTCCCCTTTGACCTCACACTCCATCACTATCTACATTTGGAATCCAATTCATCACTGTTGTATCTTCATTGATCTCATGATCTCCAACTTCTTCATTCAGTAAAAATGAAACCTTCCCCAACATTGCCTCTTCCACGGACACATTTCTCTTCTTCTTTTTCATTCTATTCCACCTATCCAAAACTGGATTAAATGTTTCTCCGAAATTGGTCCACCCTATCATTCTGAACATCAAACCCATCATCTTCATTAGCCATTCTGTCTTCTTTCACGTCATCCATACATTCTTCAGCTGAAGCTTCTACTTCCTCCCCTCAACAACATTCCCCTCTCCTCTTCTCCCCAAGATAATCATATTCATCACCAACAACAAACTCTTGTTCTCCTGACCCATTTGACATCTTCATGTTCATCATGACCATCACACTCTTCTTCTTCCTCCCCCATTTCAACGTCTTCATGCTCATCATCACCATCACACTCTTCTCTCCTCACTCATTGAACCTCTGCTGTTCATGACCACCACCACTCTTCTTCCTCACTCATTTTGAACCTCTTGACCACCACCAAACTCTTCTTCCTCACCCATTTGAACCTCT